GTACACTTTGAGAAAGAAAAGCTGTATTTCTGGTGTTTGGGTCCATAGTGCATGGTCCACAAAGCCTGTTTCATTGTAAAAGTGGGATTAAAAATTCATTTAACACACAGGGATAAGCTGTTCTGTGACAGTGGTGGGAGCTCTACAGTACCTTTAATGGGCCCAGCTTGTGCTGACAGATGAGTTGAGCTAAGTTGCTCTAGACCAGGGGCTCCATCCACTTCCTATTTCTAAATGAAACAGACTGTTATTATTTCCAACAGGCCATACAGTAGCCTTGTCCATCATTAAAGCTATGAATCATGTCTCTGCACTAGCAGTGGCTCCCTCAGGGGTATATCATTCCCTTTCTCCTTAATCTGGGCAGATTTCCGTGCTGGGTCCACTCTATAGGATTCTGTTTTTAGGAACAGCTTGCTCATGTTACTCTACAACTGCACTGCATACTACAATCTTCCCACATTTGCCATTAAATATTGTGGTTTCAGGTGTTCGGTGTAGTAGAACGTGATACACATGCAGAATTCAACAGTGGTTAAACTGAACTTTACACAGCTTGGATTTTATGAGGAGAATGTTTAGCTGCTTTTTAGCTCTGTTAGATGACATTATCACAGAAACGGAAAGAACCATATGCGGTTTATGCCGATGCTGAAGTGAGCGTTGAGGGATTTGTTCCATTCAAAGCAGAGGTTACAGTTCTGGTTGCAAGAAAGATAAAAAGAAGTCATGCTTCTAAGCTGCTTCATGCTGTTTTTAGAGGTCAATTGCATCTTTAAAATACTCGCATTAAACCTAAAGGGTCTAAATATAGGCTAGTTTGTTTGGGAGGGGGGGGGAAACAATCTGTATGTTCTCTTTGATTCTGTTTAAAGCTACCATGTCAGACTAATTTATATGCAGGATTTTTCTTTCAGCAGTGATGCAATAAGCTGCAAAGCAATTTGTCAATTGGGTTCTTCATGCTGCTAAAAGAAAGTGAAGGAGAAATATCTCACTATATAATTACACATGAGCGTGTAACAGCATGTACACTATGTACTTGTATGTGATTGAAAGCCAGGAGACGGCTTTCTATTTGAAAAGCTGTGCTCTTTGTGTTACCTGCCCTTGGAAAAGGTGTACAGGTTTAGTTTAAAGATTAACTTTGGCAGGAGAGCCATCTATCACTCAGATTGCGGGATTCTGTCTGTCTCCTCTAACTAATTGGTTTTCTATCTATCAAAAAATGATTTCTATGCCCTTTGGCCGAATCTTGAGTGCTCACGCAGTAGTACAAACCGACTGTGAAAAAGGGGAAAAGGAAATACCAGGACCACAACTTCTGCAGTAAGAAAGAATAATGCATGAAAAGATTTTACACAGCACCTATCAATGATATCATTTATTCCTCTCATTCATTAGTGCTTGAACACAATAGTGTACACACTAGATTCCTTTCAGTCTGAAGTTTTCAGCACACATTTGCATGTTCAAAATGTTCATTTTCTTTCTCGCTATGGTTGTTTCAGCTGAAATGTCTTTTCTGTGAACAGCTCTTCTCTGTATCCCTCATTGAAAATGCTGCTGCTTTCTTTAGAAAGCTGAGATGCAGCGTTGACCCCTCTTAGAGAAGAAGAGTGTTGTTATAGTACCACTGCCCCCCCCCCTCCACTCCCCCCGCCTGTCACTTCAGACAGCCTCTCACTGGAGAGCTCTCTCTCAGATCAGCACTAAACTCTCTCCTTAGTCTCAGGAAGTGTTGGAGGAAGCACTCTCAGCCTAGTAGGCTTTTCTTAGATTCCTAGGTCTCATTGCATATTCATAGTACCCTCCAAAGTCAAGGGTATCAGGTTTGAAATGGGGGGGGGAAGACATCCAACATTTAATTATTTACTGTCAAATTGTTATCGCTGTCTGTGATCTGAGAAAGGTTGGCTCATTAATGCTTCATATTTGAAAGCATTTCTTTGTCGAGAGAAATATCGTTGCTGTTTTCGACCGCCAACACGGTGTCCATTTTCCCACGAGCTGCATCCCTCAGCTGCCGCACAAACAATACAAAGACACTCTCTGCTGTAAGTGGGAAATTGAGAGGCTGCAGTTTGTCATCAGATCTGTGTCCTTCTGAACAACAGATTCTGGTGTTGGAAAAATCCATTACACAGTTTCCAGTGTTAGGGGGATATATTGCAAAATGCCAACTTGTTTGGTAATGAAGAGATCATCTGGAAGACTTTCTGGGGGGGGGAACCTGCAATCTTTTAATGACTATTTAAGTTTAGAGAGCGATTGGGGGGAAGTCTCTTCCCATGCTAAATTTTTTTTTCTCAATTACAAAACGCATGTCTAAAAAAGTTTTTCACAAAAAAAGTTTTTTTTTTTTTTTTTTCCAAATGAAGAAATAATGTACACACCAAGTACTCAGTCACTTTTAATATTTAATAAGCCCGCATTGGGGTGCTTTTAAATTTGATAACATTTTTCACAGAACAGGAAATATTCTTCAGTCAAATACAGCAAAGAGAATAGTGATTATTTAACACATGTGTCAAATATACCTTGATTGATATCTTGTAATTGAGTTAGTTGACAGACAGGTAATCCAGTGTAACGTGAGCACCATGTGTTATTAATCTGTTTTTTCTATTAAAGGCCTAATGGAAGTCTTGTGAGGTCTGTTAGGCATTTTAAATCATCTAATTAAAGGCCTTTAATAAAACTTGCCCTGATTGATTGTACCTGATTTTATACTTTTCTGTGATCTGTTTTATTAATGGTCATTTTTCTTTTTTTTCTTTTTTGTTATTTTAACTATTTAAAAGTGGCAGTAAAATCCAAAACGAAGCCTGTCTGTTAATAAGCCTTAACTGTATGTGGACCCCCAACTTGCCCATTCTGAGGCTGGAAACAACCCCAATGGTACCGATCATAACAACCAGATGAACCAGCGGCAGCTTGATATCAATACATCAGTGCTATTCCCAAGAGTGTCAGAATTCAAATCCTCACACTGTAAACAACTGCCCACAAGAACAAACCAAAATAAGTGATTCCTGTTGCTGGATTTAGATGAGAACCTCTGTACCATGTCCTCTTTTTGATTAATAGCCAAAGGGTCGTGCTGAGCAGCCATGCTCTGCCACAGCTGGGGGTTCACACTGAAAACGAGGCAGTGGCTGACAGTGGAGAGCTATGTGCCGCTCTGCTCCACGGGAGGTAATGAATCGGTGTGGCTGCCGCGGACTGGAGTGTAGACAGCAGGAGGAAGAAAAGTGATCAGTCTTTCAGGGAGAGGTTCTACTTTTCCAGCATGTGGGCTGCTGATAGCTGGAGAGTCTGAGCATAAAGGAGAGAAGAAGGGGTTGAGAGGAGGTGTGCTATGAGAGAAGGAAGAGAGAGAGATTGGAGAAAGAATGAAGCGGTATAGTGTGACGGGAGGGATACTGAAAAGCAACAAATGGAGGGAGAGAGAAAAAACAAGAAGAAGAGAAAGAGGAGGCTGGAGTGTTACATTCCTGGGGAAATTTCCTCCTCGTTCCCCCACAACACTCCCTAACCACCACAGAGGGGGTTCATTATTCTCACTTTACTTTCCACTAATTATCGTTATCATTATGGGGGATAATTACCATTTCACTCCCTAACACCCATGTAGACTCCTCAGCTCTGAGTCGCACACAAGGTTATCAATAGATGCTCAATTGCAGTCTTATCTGCCTAATTATAAGATTTAGACTTTGTGATAACTGAATAGGATGCGGAATCTGGTATTATGTCTTCTGAGTGCTGGTGCGATGCTGAAAGTCAGCACAAGGCCCTGAAATAAACCAGCGTGTGTGGAACCTGTTAATTAAAAGCTGCTGCCTTTGCTGGAATAAAAATCAGAGAAAACCCAGGGTTATGAAACAACTTTAAATCTCCAACATTTCTTGCAGGCTGTTACAGAGCTACGGATTTTGTTCAGAGTATGCACAGGGCTGAACAAAGTCCTGTGAGACAGAGATCCTCTCTGGCTTTGATTTCATTCACTTATTACTCGTAAAAAATTAATTAATTAATTTAAAAAACAGATCTATCTAACCATGACTCTACTTTTAATTAACCCACACTGTTAGCACCTAGTCCATCAGTCCATTCAACAATGATAATGAAGAGCCACAGCAAGCATTTGTCTGCTGGCCCTGCATAACAATCACTGGCTGTGACTTATGTTAAGCTTAGTAGCCGTGTTTGTCAAGGGGGCTTCTAAATCCCTCTGTGGCATTTTGGACTTGCAGCTGACGCCTTGAACCTGATGAATGGTCTCTACATCTGCTGCAGTTCAACACTAGTCTACAAGACAGACACAGGCATAATGAGCTGAAGAAATTCATTAGACCTGCCCTCTGTTAAAGTGTGTGGCACAAGTGAGAGGAAGTGGTGGAAAAGCAGGCGTGAGGGCATGGGTACAGAGATTAAGCAAAACGAGCAAAGGAGGCGACTGTGCCAATGGCTCAGTAAGCATATGACAGACAGTTGGTTCAGGCTGGAGGAATGTGTGGCACAGATGACCTCATGACAGATAGGAGGCACATTTCTGTTTGACCCCAATTACCAGAGTTGTTTCTCTCCCTCATATACAGTGCAGTATAGGGTGTAGCCTCTATTCTATGTCATGGAGATTCTATTGTATTTGTTTTTTGTTATTCTGAGCTCTAAGCTCTATTCTTTCTATAAAGTCATACAAATAACACCACAGCTGTTAAGAAACTTATAGCAATGTAACTAATGCTCTTTTTATTGACTAGACAAATGAGAATGGGAACAGAAAACATTCGACATCCTCCCCCCTTTTTTCCAGCACATTTAAAACAGTCCTTTATAATATAAAGAAATATTCAGATGTTTCAGTAAGCATTACAACACTTTGACATTTCATACTGTAGACTTCCCCTTAAATTGTTTGTCTGACTCAAGCAGTTCATATTCAACCCCAGTAATATTATGTTTCTGCCATCTCTTCTTATGGCTCTCCACAGAGACACTCATGGACTCCACTACAGCCACGGCGGAGCTCGGCTGGACTGTCTACCCTGTGTCAGGGTCAAGTGACAACAGTGTAAGTGCCTGCTTTTACTTTGTGCCACTTCTGACAGTGAAGATTTCGTTTAAGCTATTATTTAAGTATTTATAAGTGTGGCAAAGATTTTTTTTAAATGTAGTTTTTGGTCACATATTTACATTGAAATAACAGTCACAACATTACAGTTATCACAGTGCCACAGATTGTGCCATGTAGCACTTTTTTCAAGAACTAAATAGAAAAGTTCTCAGTTTGACATCAGTGTTTCAATCAAGAAAGAAGTACAAAAAGCAGAACAAGGAATCGTCCTAGTTCTTTATTAAATAGATCTTCCCTCCCAGCTGTTCTATGATTAACCTGTAATAGCCTCTGTTGTACTTAGTGCCCCTGTCCTTTCTTTAAAAGTCGATAAGGTTAATTGTTTAAATGCTTTTAATTTTGCTTATTTGCTCACTCTCCCATGAAAGCTTTTTTTATGATGGTAGTCAGTGTTTTTGTTTCTCACTCTCAGGCCAAAAGATCAACCACTGAGCCTGCCTGCTCTGCAGAGCGGGAAATCACTTGAATTTAGAAATAACAAACTCCACACACTTGTGGTGTTCTTTGTACGTTTTTATCGTAGCATTTAAATATTCATACCATAGCAGTCCGTAGTTCAGATTTGATTGCTTTCTTTTTAGATTCTTTGAACAGGCACAGAAGAACGAGTAGCGATAGCCAACAAAGGATCTTTAATGCAGTGATTAAATTTATCACGGCTCGGCAAAACTGCAAAGCCCTCTAAATGAAACCACATTTCTTTGTTAAAAACACAGCTCAGACATAAAAAAACGCAACAAACTGTAGAGGACAAGTTCCTCAATGAGCCATGAGCTAAAAATTAGGTTCAGATCAGTTTGGTTCAGATCTATTAATATAGTGTCAAATCATAACAATAATTACCTGAAGATGCTTTATACTGCCCTACAGTTTTCGAGAGAAAATCCTAACAATCGGACAATCCTCTACGAGCAAGCATTTTGTGAAAAAACTGGCAGAACCCGGCTCAGGGAGGGGCGGCCATCTGCCACAACTTGTTGGGGGGTGAGGAGAAAGAGAAGAGAAAAAGGAATAGGGAGACATAGGGAGACGGGACAAAACACAAACTATGAGAGAAAGAGAAGACAAAATTTAATGACACGCTGCAGTGTTATTTAACACCTTGGAAGTGAAAGAGGTAAGCTGAGAAGAAACGCTCAGTGTCTCACAAGTCCCACAACAGTCTGAGCCGATACTACCATAACTAAGGGACCAGGGTCACCTGATCTTGCCAAAAGCATATGAGCTTTATCAAAAAGGAACATTTTACCCCCCCAACCCCGTTTTAAATCAATAAAATGTTGATCACAAAAAAAAGGAACATTTTGAATCTTAAAGCTCAAAGTGGAGAGGATGTATGTTTCCAGTCTGAAAGCTGAAGGCTCTGAGGGCATCAATTAGCTGAAAAGAAAAATACAACTTCAGTAAAGTCTCAAAATAAATCGCTGAATTAACATCAATAATTCACATAAATCCTGTAGTTATTCAAAAGTAACAGGCGGAGAGAAAATATTCCCAAAATAACCAAGCCAGAGTGTTGCAAATACACACAAAGTAACAGATGCAGAAGCTTCACTGATGCAACGGTAGATTACAATGAAAGTTATCAGTGAAACAAGGAGACAAAAGTAGCACGAGCACCTAAATATATTAGGGTCCAGAAATACATGCCTCAAAAAGAAACAAACCTACAAGATGTCCCATCACTGCTGTAGAAACTCATTTCTTACAAACATGGAAAACAAGGGAAGGGAACCCCTGCTAAAACAAACAAAACCAACAACACGACTATTTGGATTCAGCATTGTCCCCATAGTTAGCATTAGTAAAGTAAATTAATAAAACCCAAACTGAAAACGGGACTTCCAACTCATTAATAAACAAAATTATATAAGCAAAATTATTATAAGCAAAAAAAAAAAAGAGGAATAATCCCGGTGCTGATAGAGAGATGAGGGGACCAGAGAGAATATGAGAGAGTTCTGACACCGTGGTCTTCTCTGGCTTTTTATGCATGCAGGACAATCTTTGCAGCCAATCAGCACTAGGGAGAGGAGAGAGCAGGTTAAGTATGATGACAAAAAAACAATAGGCAGGTTTTAGATGTGCTGGCAGACTCGGAGTTGGAGAATGATGTAGCTTTTTTAATAAGATGTTGTACATTTTAGCCTCATCTGAACTTTCTGGTTCAAGGCAAGCACTTTATGGGTGAAGTATGTTCATTTAAAGCTAAATATGTGTGTTCTAATGCCAGACTGGAAGCAATGTGTTATGAGCCTTGTTGGTGTTTGATGCACAGTATTTCCACATGGTTTGCCAGCGCGTTGGTTCCTCCAAGCCACATGCGAGCCAGGCCCACTTCAAGCAGCCAAAACCAGAGTCTCCTCCACTTTTTTCTCCACCACAGACTTTTGCCTTCCTAGAATGGATCCAAAAGAGAGAGAAAAACATTGTAGGCTTATTTGCTGGTGCATTTCAAAAAACCTCTGCCGATTTTATTCAATTATTTATGCTTCTGTGGTTTGTATTAAAGATGGTTCAAATTATACTCCATCACGCTGTGTCTGTTTGCACAGAAAAAAAAAAAGTTAAAGAAAATGCAGCGATGAGAGCTGGCCGTCAGCAGTTCCATGATACAACTTCAAAGCTCTACGGTAAAAAATTTAGGACTGCTTCATCTCTACCAACCTGAGGGCACATTGTCTCTTCCCATGCTAATTTTTTACAATCAATACCAAAACATTTTCTCCTGCCAGCTCTGGATTCAATCTGCAGAGAGCGAGCTAATGCAAACTCCAAAGACAGTTTACATCACATTTTTCTTTCATCTTTGCAAAATGTTTGATTCAGCAAAACATTCATTCACCATTTTTTTTAATAATGAGATTTCATATTAAGTGGAAACTCTAGACTAAGAAGTTGAATATTTAAAGAAACATGAAAAGGTCCCCGTTGTAAACTCTGTGCATGCAGTTAAAATGCTCATGGTTGCCAAAATAAGTAAAACTAGAGTCTAAACATCAAACTAAAGACCTCTAAGCTCTTCAATAATCATATGTCTTCCAGTTAAATGTGGTGTAATGCCTGAGTTTGTGGTTATTTTCTTTTCCAAATCATATTCAGTTTTATGAATATGATTTTCTCTCTCTCTCTCTCTTTTTTTTTTTAGTTTGGGCTCTTATTTTCCCAAATCAGTTCTTGCTTCCTTTGGAAAAGTTCCACATTGGGAGTGCAATGAAATGTAAAGTCCTTAAACCCCTGGATTTAATCAGGTATAGCTTGGCCTTATCGGTGTGGGCACTAAGGCTTTATGATGATGTGGCTGAGCTTGGCCAAAGCCTAGGCTGTTGGAAAGCAAAGAATGAGGGTGATGGAGATAGCCTGTCCCTTAGGGGCCAGGGCAACAGGTGTGGAAACAGAGCGTACTCCCCCCTCTCAGTATAACAGCAAGAGGTGCTTTACAGAAGCTATTGTCTTACACATATATATGCATGGCTTCACGGGCTTAGTTCGTGGATCAGTAACATCCAGCAGAGTGCCGCACCAGCAGTTGGCTTTCACTGTTCTCTGTAGCTTCATGAAATACTCTATATCCTAACATGGCATGTGATATGTTACAACAATGGCAATGCAAACAAGAAACAGTATGATATTACTGAAAGTCAGAAATGTTATGGCAGTTGTTATTATTCTTATCTTATTTTACAGGATACTTGAATAATGTCTGTCAAATTATTATTTTAAAAAATCCGTTCAAATGAAGCCACAAAATCGTCATCCCACAGTGGGTCTTTGGAAGTGATTTATATGAAACAATATTACGCTTCAGGATGTGTAAATCAAGTTTTATAGCTCTCTCTGTGTATTGCCAGGCAGCTCTCCTTTTTAATTATGGAAAATGACAGTCAAACAGTATATTGTGCCTAAGACAGCCACATTATTCTTGATAGTAATGATAAAAACACTAAGAATCAGTATAATATTTACCAAACCAAAGTTTAGCTAGGGGCATTTAGGAAGTGTTGAGGAAGTATCTCCTAATAAAAAGTCCTCACATTCTGGCAGTAAAATGCATTTCCCATGCCTAAGCACACCCACACATGAAAACCCCTGCACTCGGTGTACAGTACTTAAACTGGGTCTTTGGGCAGCTTTTGTGAAGATGGCCACAAGGAAACTGACTGCACAAAAGTAATGGTAATATGTAAATGTGTAGCACTGTTTCAACAAGTTTACACCTTACTTATGCACTTCAAGAACACATTATTAGGATAAACAGCTTCAAAGATGTGCTGCAAAGAAACTGATGTGGCTGTGTTTTATCTAAAGTTACCCAGAGAGCTTGACCTAATGAAAATCAGCTATGAAAAACAGCAATAGCAGAGCAGGGTTAAGTGGTCAATGGTTTTCCTGTCAAGTGGAGCTGAGAGACGTGTGAACATCAGGTCAGACCTCCTGACCTCTTCATTGCCACGCTGAAGTACTAACAACAGTAGTCATTTAGAAATAGACTTATGGCTGCATGGCGCACACACAGCTACTGTGGAAGAAAAACTGAGGTCTCCTGCGTCGGCAGAGAGCATAATTAGGTACTCTGTGGGTTAGGTTATCATTATATATGTGTCATAATGTGGTGCTGTACCAGGATATATCTCGTGTCATTTAGGGACACACCGCAGTGCACACTTTTCCAGAAAGACAATATGCAGCACATGTTGCAGAATGTTTGTAAAAGAAATTTGTTTCCTTGTAATTTATCAAAGATAACTAAGAATTCCTTTGGAAATAAGAATGCGGCTGCTTACGTGTAATTGTGTGGTAAACCAACAAGGCATGCTTTTTCTAAACATAAACGAGCAATTTGTAAAACACAGGGATGCTGTTTACAGTTTACAGTGACCACCGATTTGTTGTAATTCACAATTAAGTCTATGAAATTTTGGAGTTATGTATAGAAA